TAAATATGTATTTATTTATTTTTAAGATTTTATTTATTTATTTGACAGAGAGAGAGAGAACACAAGCAGGGGGAGTGGCAGGCAGAGGGAGAGGGAGACACAGACTCCCCACTGAGCAGGGAGCCTGATGTGGGGCTCGATCCCAGGACCCCGCGATCATGATCTGAGCTGAAGGCAGACACTTAACCAATTGAGCCACCCAGGTGCCCCAAGATTTATTTATTTGAAATTAAGAAAGAGGGAGAGAGAGAGAGAGAGAGAGGGAGCGCACTCGAGCTCCCATCCAGGAGCAGGGGGAGGGGCAGAGGGAGAGGGAGAATCTCAAGCAAACTGCCTGCTGAGGTCGGGCTCAATCTCATGATCCATGAGATCATGACCCAAGCTGAAACTAAGAATCAGACACTCAACCGACTCAGCCATCCAGGCGCCCCTCTATCAATTCTTTATTTGCCAGAAAGAGGGAGAGAGAGAGCACAAGCAGGGGGAGCTGTAGACAGAGGAAGAGGGAGAAGCAGGCTCCCCACTGAGCAAGGAGCCTGGTGCGGGACTCAGTCAATCTCAGGACTCTGGGATCATGACCTGAGTTGAAGGCAGATGCTTAACCAACTGAGCCACCTCAGGCATCCCTCCTCTATCAATTCCTCTTCGAATATTCCAGACTACTATGATTTTCCTCTCATCTTTTAGTGCTACAGCATTCATTTATAATTTGGTCATATATTGTCTTAAATACGTTAAAGCTGCAACTTTATAGTTACAGCATACACAGGGAGCTACAGGCTACAAATAAATTTGGGAAAAACATCATCTTTTAAAATTTAAGCTCTGAAAAGACATCTCAGTGTGTGTGTGTCTGTGTATATCTTATACTGAGCAAATACTACCATTGTTTAAAATAAAAAGACATGAGGCTATTAACAATAACATAAAAAACACATAAGTTTTACTCACTATTCTATCCACTGAAAGTAAACTATCCAGAGACATGCTTCAAAAATGTGTTCCTGGGGTGGCTGGCTGGTGTAGTTGGTAGTGCATGTAACTCTTGATCTTGGGATTGTGAGTTCAAGCCCCATGTTGGGACTAGAGCTTACTTTAAAACCCCCCAAAAATGTGTTGCTGACAAGATTCAAATATTTTTTGAGTCTTCATCAAAAGAGACCAAGGTAAATTCCCTACCTAACTGATATTCTCTGGAAGACATAACTGGATAAAATGATATAAAAGCTATGTATCTAGTTGCATGTTATTATTTTTGGTTTAGCATGCTAGAGGCAGACAGGAAGGAAGGGAGGGTGGGAGAGAGTGGGGAGGGAGGGAGAGAGAGGGAGAAAGTGAAAGAGAGAGAAAGAGAAGAGAGGGAAGGAAAGAATATGAATAAATGAGGATAGTTACTAATTTATAAATTGTTAAAAGCATAGCCTATGGGAGAAATTCACATTGCATTTAGTATCTCACATAAAAACAATTTACTGGATACTAGATACAAGTATTTTTTATCTCCAAGAAAGGTATTATCTCAGTTATCAATTATGAAACTGTCATCCTCAATAAGAAATCATTTTTAGTCTTTGATATTTCAAAACTGAGGTTTACTTTGAGTGGACTGAAATCTATCAAACTTAAGACTAATCAATTTTAATCTAATTTTTGAAATCCACCAAACTAAAGACCTATAATGGCTCCACAAAGCGTTGAAGGTAAGAAAGCTTATGAGACCTAATCTAAGCAGAAAACCAGTGTTCTTCTTTGTACAATAGCTCATAAATCAAAATTCTAATACCACTGCATTTTTTTGTTGTTCTTTTTTTTTTAATCACTGTTTTTTTATTTGTATTTTCAGCTAAATGATAAGGTAATTATGGGTAAAGTAGTATATCCACAAGCCTAGCAGTTTTCAGTTTAATTTAATCACTGAATTTAATCATTGACTTAATTACTTATTAAATATTAGCCAGGTGAATAATTACAAGAGCCTTTATCTCACCTACAACTGTCATCTGTAAGAACTCTTTTATGCTAATAAGAACTTTTTTTTGAGAGAGAGAAAGAGAAAGAGCACGCGTGCACCAATGGGGGGCGGTGGGGAGAGAATCTCAAGCAGACGCTGCGCTGAGCCTGATGCAGGGCTCACAAGAGATCACAACCTGAGAAACCAAGAGTCGGACGCTTAACCGACTACATCACCCAGGCACCCCACTAATGAGATCTTCTGATATTTTTCTTATGTATCAGTTCTCTATTATGCATTCACTGAACCAATGACCAATCCTTAAATATTGGATTTCAAGATAAGTGAACTACTAAAGATGATTTACCTTTGGGCTTCTCCCACATGAGCACATACAACTCCAAAGAGCTTGACTGCAGAGCTAATAACTGATAGTACTGGAGGTAGGGGCTTAGGCACTGAATCTCCCTCTACATCTTTCTCATAAATAGAGTAAGGGTCATACTCCAAACTTCCACAAGCAATACCATTACCAAGCAGGAGCTAAAACAAAACAAAACAAACAAAAAATATATATATAAGGTATTAAAATGACTGTTCACAGAATGAGTCAACCCAAGAGTTACTGAAAAATGACTCTACCTGTTCTTCGATAAATCTATGGTCAGTCTCTTGTAGCAGAGGACTTAATATCACAAGATCATCCTGATGACAGAGGGATGGAAGTAAAAATGCCGATGCTGCCACCTGTATATCAGAGGCAGTCAGGTCAGCAGCCAGCTCTTTGAGGACAGCACAAAGGTTTCCTGTTGAGTCACAGAAAACAGCAATTAGCAATTTACTAGAAGCAGTTAACTGGTTAAAGTACAGGGTTCAAAAAACCCAGGCAGAGCTTTAATCTAAACATCAGCTAACTTTAATCTATTACAGCCAAAGATTTTATCTCATCCTTAAAAAATACACTACAAACAAATGGCTCAACTGGTGCTACTGGCCACAAGACTAAGAACAGATACTGAAAAGACATCTCAAAGTATGTGTACCTCATGATACTGACTAAATACTACCATCATGTTAAATAAAATGACATGAAGAACAAAAACAGAATAAAAAAAGATGAATACAAAAGCAGATAAATTGTATTTATTTTAAAAAAACCATAGCTTAAAAAATCTATAAACATTTGACATGTTTTTTATTATGGAAAATTTCAAACATACAGACAAGCAGACATAATAGTATTATGATACCCCAACTCCTCACCACCTGAGCATATGACTGTCATGCATCTTGACCAGCTGGATCAATTTTGTTTCACTACACCTCCATCCACTATCTCACCACCTCCCATATTATTTTGAAGTAAATCCTAGAAGGCATATAATTTCATCTATAAATATTTCCTTATGTATCACTGAAAGTTAAGGACATTTTAAACAATCCTATTATAATATGTTTTAAAAAACACTTAACATCAAATACCCATTCAGTGTTCAAATTCTCAATTGTCTCATAAATTCCTGTTTTTGATTTTGATTGAATTAAGATGTAAGTGAAGTCTACATGTTGTAATTAGTTGATATATTTTAAGTCTCATTCAATCTAAAGTTCTTCCCTCAGGACACCTGGGTGGCTCAGTTGGTTAAGCATCTGGCTTCAGCTCGGGTCATTATCCCAGGGTCCTGGGATCGAGTCCCACATCAGGTTCCTTGCTCAGTGGGGAGTCTGCTTCTCCCTCTGCCTGCTGCTCCCTGACAGATAAAATCTTTTAAAAATAAATAAATAAATAAATAAAGTTCTTACCTCTACTTTTCCCTGTGTAATTTTTTTTTTTTTTAAATTTGAGAGAGAGAGAGAGAAATGATGAGAGAGAGCACGAGGTGGGGGGCAGGGAGAGGGAGAAGCAGGCTCCCCGCTGAGCAGTGAGCCTGATGCGGGGCTTGGTCCCAGGACCACGGGATCATGATCTGAGCCCAAGACAGACGCTTAACGACTGAGCCACCCAGGTGCCCCTTCCCTGTGTAATTTATTTGAAGAAATGAGGTTTTTCTGTAGAAGTTTCTACAGCCTGAATTTTTAGAATATATGCCCCAGTGCAGTTTAATTTGTTCCTCTATCGTCTGTATTGTTTTACAGATTAACAACTTGGATCCACAGAGGATCCATTTTATTTGTGTTTCGGGGGCCATCCTAGTTTATAGACAGCACTGCAATCTTCTATAAGACATGGGGGGGGGGCGTGCAGAGTGCCTGGGTGGCTAAGGTGGTTAAGCGACCAACTCTTCTTTTTTTTTTTTTTAAAGACTTTATTTATTTATTTGACACTGAGAGAGATAGCTAGAGAGGGAACACAAGCAGGGGGAGTCGGGGAGGGAGAAGCAGACTCCCCACTGAGCAGGGAGCCTGATGCGGGGCTCAATCCCAGTACCCAGGGATCATGACCTGAGCTGCAGGCAGACGCTTAACGACTGAGCCACCCAGGTGCCCCAAGCGACCAACTCTTGATTTTGGCTCAGGTTATGATCTCATCAGGGTTGTGAGACTGAGCCCTGTGTTGGGCTCCGGGCTCGGAGCTGGGCTGGGTGTGGAGCCTGTTTAAGATTCTCTCTCTCCCGCCTTCTGCCCCTCCCTCCACTCTAAAAAAAAAAAAAGACATGAGATAGCATATGGTTGTTTCTCTTATATATACATTTTGAAAAACTGGTCCATTATCATACTGACCTGCCATTTCAAAGATATTTACAACTCAGTGTGGAAACAGTTTCTCTATTTCTCATTTATTTTTTTAAAGATTTACTTATTTTACAGAGGGAGAGAGTGTGGTGAGGGGGGAAAGGGGAAAGAGAGACAGAATCTCCAGCAAACTCTCCACTGAGCATGGAGCCTGATGTGGGGCTTGATCCCACGACTCTGAGATCATGACCTGAGCCAAAAATCAAGAGTTGGATGCTCAACCACCTGAGCTACCCAGGCACCCCTTATTTTATTTTTTTTTAAGATTTTTTAATTTTTAAGTAATGTCTATGCACAATGTGAGACTCAAACTTACTACCCTGAAATCAAGAGTTGCATGCTCCATGGACTGAGCCAGTCAGGCACTCCTGTCTCTTTCTCTTTTTTAGTTTTTTTTTTTTTAAATATTTTATTTATTTGACAGAGAGAGACACAGCGAGAGAGGGAACACAAGCAGGTGGAGTGGGAGAGGGAGAAGCAGGCTTCCCATGGAGCAGGGAGCCCGATGTGGGGCTCGATCCCAGGACCCTGGGATCATGACCTGAGCCGAAGGCAGACGCTTAACGATTGAGGCACCCAGGCGTGCACTCCTCTCTATTTCTCATTTAAAGTGACTGCTCACCTCAAAGTCCCTGAACTTAAGAATGATTACATTTTAAAATGCAAATACGCTTTTTTGGGAACATTATTTATTTGAGAGAGAGTACGAGGAAGAGCAGGAGGAGAGAGACAAGCAGGCTCCATGTTTAACTGACTGAGCCACCCAGGCGCTTCTGCAAATATGCTTTTTTTGTAGAAATTTCCAGGAGGAGCAATTTCCAGCGTGGAGAAAATTAAAACACTTGAAAGGTCCATAACAAAACTAAAATAGGAAATAAAAACTAAGAACCCAATTTTTACTCCACAAACTTCGGAAAACTAAGTCACTCCTATGACAAACGTCTGCATCTGCTGGACAACCAGTCATTTAAATTCTTAAAAATAGGTCCCATTAACAAAAGCAATTTCTTACTCTGTCTTGTAAACTTACTTTTTGACAACTCATCGTACCAACCAATATCATCAGAACTTTAAACTTGTTTTGTTACTTAGCCATATTTTGAATTAATGAGATGTATAATTTTAAAGACTATTTCATTTTGTGTTAAAAGATTCAGAAATTACTATAGGTTATTATTGTATGATGAGCCGTTATTTTAAATGTCAGTTGATATTTTAATGGTAAAGTTCTGACTGTTACGCTCCATACACATAAATCTATTAAATAGAATGCCATTAAAAAAAATTAAAAGTCTTAGGGCGCCTGGGTGGTTCAGTCAGTTAAGTGGCTGCCTTCGGCTCAGGTCATGATCTTGGGGTCCTGGGATCGAGCCCCACGTCAGGCTCCCTGCTCAGCGGGAAGCCTGCTTCTCCCTCTCCCTCTGCCTGCCTGCCTGCCTGCCTGCCTACTTGTGATCTCTGTCAAATAAATAAATAAAATCTTAAAAAAAAAAATTAAGGGCGCCTGGGTGGCTCAGTCGTTAAGCATCTGCCTTTGGCTCAGGTCCTGATCCCAGGGATCTGGGATCGAGCCCTGCATCAGGCTCCCTGCTCGGCGGGAAGCCTGCTTCTCTCTTTCCCACTCCCCCTGCTTGTGTTCCCTCTCTCGCTGTGTCTCTGTCAAATAAATAAAATCTGAAAAAAAAACAAATTAAAAGTCTTTAAGGAAAAAAATCCTTAATTTTATTTCTATAGTTTTAAAGATGGAAAAAAGATAGCCAAGAAATGGCAAATTATTTTTTTTGGTTGAAACATAAAACTATTAATACCTCCATATTCTCATTTTTCTATGAACTAATTCTTCTTTAAGTAATGTTAGATAAATAAACTTGAAAAAGATAAAGAAGGTAAATATAGATTCTATTTTTCAAGAAGTTTATAGTAATTCCTGACTTTGTCTCCCAGCGAACACTCTGGAACTGATTTAAAATCTATACACTTTATATTCATTATTCCTTTAGGACTTCTATTTTTTTTTTTATTCCTTTAGGACTTTTGACTGCATTCCCAAACTCCAATTCTGAGAAAAAAGTACAAGACTTTGTTTTTTTAAGTCTTTTAAGGGCAGACTTATATTATCATTTATTAGAAGATACAGTGTAGATTTTAAGTTGAAATTCTGGTATTCTTAGATGTTTAATGAAGACCTGAAAAAGAAATCATTTTTTTTCATCTGTAGTTTGAAAATAAACTCTAAAATATGGTAAAATTGATATAAATATCTAAAGGGAATTGTTTTTGCCAGGACCTGACAGCTATCAGAGGTATAAAACACAGAAATTATCTCTAGGGCTTTTATATCTAGCAGGTAGCTCTTATATACTAAGAGATAGTATACAATGAGAAGGACCTATCACTAAGCCTTGACTGTTAAGTCTCTTGCAGGTCACCTATAAATAGGTATGCAGCACAGCATGAAGCAGATCTATAATCTTGATTCCACTATTTACTGCATATATGTTTTTGAGTTGGTTTTTGTAACTTCTCTATGCCTTTATCTGTCAAATAAGGAAAATGTAACCAGCTCACTGTATTATTCTAAGACAAATGAGATAATATATACAATTTCTATCACAGTGCCTGGCATATAGAAATGATTCTTTTGATACAATTCCTGAGAAATGACAATCACCCAATTTTTTCCAGTTCTTCATATACTAAATGATTACTCTGTATCAAACATTTTGCTAGGTGTATTTGTGAACCAGGAAGAAAGGCAGTACCACACTCACATAATAATACCACTCATATAATAATAAAGGCCAAACAGAAGTTACAGGTTAATATTTTGAACTACTATGGTATATATGATACTGCATTTACCTGTAAAATAAGGATATAAGCCAATAAATGTATTCGTACAAGAAGCAGATTTGAATAATCAATATGTTTGGCTAGAAACTATTAAGACTAAAAAAATATGAAGTTCCCAATGGAGACCATTTACAACTTTCACCTCTTAAAACATGCATCTTGAGTACTTTAGCAGCAGCAATATAAAGTTTGTAGGACTAATTTTAAAATAAAGACAAGTTTATGTTACCAATCATAGTAAACTAGTAATCTAAGGTCATATTTGAACCCAATAAAGGCAAAACCTACACTCTAAACTTTAGAAAATCAATTATACCTTGGTAGTTCAGTATTAAACTTTTGTTTGGGCACAGTGAAGAATGAAACAGTGAAACAGAATGTGTACAGTAGATTATCAATGTAGAAGGAAACCCTAGAGTAGAATCAAGACCAATCTTTGTGACTCATTCTCTTCCACACGGTGGAACTAGGGACTTTTTGCCCCAGAGGAGAAAAGAAAGCAAGACATTAAAAAATAGGTTTTTAAAAAAATTTACTTTATTTACCGTATAATGATGAATACAATAGTTAAGACTGAACTCCCTAAACCTCCTAGAAATAAGGTACTAAATAAACGCCATATCATTCATTCATTCGGGTATTACTTTCCCAGCACTGTCCTAGCCACAAACAGTAAAATGTTTTGGTTTAAAGCACATACCTTCATAGGTTTCAGGAGGTAATAAAATCAGTAATTCATAAAGCCTTTGCCTATAAACTACTGATGGTGTTTTCAAAGTGCTTCCATATGTTTTTAGCACTGAAGAAAGCCTTAAAATAAAAGAAACAGTATATCTTAAATGTGTAAGTTATATAGGTTGACATATAAAACAGCTATACGTATTATTAGCAAACATTAGTGCTCCTTTATGTTTCTTTTTTTCCATTTAAAAAAATACTGTGATGATAAGTTATAAGAGGTATTATATGTGTCATACATGGAAATTATTCTACTATGTTTCCTATCATACTCCATACAACAAAACTATATATTCAACTTAGATCTCTAAGGCCATCAGTATTTTGTCTAAAAACAAACTCTTACTAAATTCCACAATTTACAACTTGGCATTTGTAAAACAAACAAACAAACAAAAGTCTATTATTTGGAAAAGGAATCATATGGAAGGAAACAAACAGGAAACATAAATATGCAGGTAAAATCCAAGTTTTGGTTTGAAACTTGATCTGGAATACCATCACCAAATAGGAAAAAAAAGCATCAAAATATGCAAAGATCATAAAACAAATTCTCTTTTATTCTTT